GTAGCAGTAGCTAAGTTTCACAGGGCAGCAAGAGATAAGGAACTCTTATACACTGTTAGTGGGATTGTAAAATTGTGCTACCACTCTGGAAGACAGTCTGGCGTTTCTTAAAAAAAACTGAACATAGAAACTCCATATGACCAAGCTATTCCACTGCTAGGACAAACAGAGATTTGTACACCAATTTTCATAACAGCATTATTCACCATTGCAAGACATGGAAACAGCCTCAATGTCAAACCACCACCAAATGGATTGACAAATTGTGGTACATTTGCACAATGGAATACTATGCAGCATGCAGGAGCAATGATTTAAACAAAATACTGCATAAGTAGGGAGAGGCTGGAAAGCATCATGCTGAGTGAACTAACACAGTCTTATAATGACAAAAACTTAATAAGACCATTATTGTAAAAATAGAAGGATTATTAGAGGGGATCTCAAGCAGGGTTAAGAGTGGGAATGGAGGGCCGAGGATGGGTAGGAGTTGCACGGTTTGGTGAGTGGAGGTGGGGGAGGAAATGGGAAGCATCTGGGCAAAAAGATAGGGTAATGATGGGCAAGGTCCAATGGTGATTCATTTTATAAAACATAGTGCATGAGAATAATTGTATGAAATACAATGTGAATGGAAAAAAATGAAGAGATTGTCCACACTTTTACACGTGGAACAGCGAGTGAACTCTGAAGAACCCCCTATTCCTCAAAGAAATGAAGGTGTCATCAGGGGGAAAAGAAAAGTCATGGAGATGGGGAATCCGATTTCCCTTGATGAGTGAGTAAAAAAATAAGACAAACATTTCCCCTTTTGTCACCCATTTCCCTTTTCTATGTAGATGTTGTTTCATTTTTGTGTGCCATCGAGTCACCACAGACTCACAGCTGATCCTCCAGTGCATTTTCAGAGGCAGTAAAGATTGCTTAATCTTTTCCCACAGAGCAGCTGGTGGATTTGAACCATGTGCCTTTGAGATTGCAATGCAGCTTCTTACTACTAGACCACCAGAGCTCACTAGATAGGCTGATAAATTTTTCAGTACCTATCTTCTCCTTTCCGTTTAAAGCCTAAAGTGTGCCTAGTCCATGTCATGGTATTTTCAATTGCTTCATATGTATCAGAAAGTCGGGCAATGACTAAAGAAAACTGAAGAATTGATGCATTTGAATTGTGGTGTTAAAGATTATTGACTATCCCATGGATGGCCAAAAGAATCAACATCTCTTTCTTGGAGGAAATGCAACCAGAGTGCTTCTTAGAGGCAAATATGATGAAACTTTATCTTTCATGCTTTTAGTATGTTTTTAGAAGGGGCCAGTCCTTGGGGAAAAGATTGCATACTGAGAAAGGTGGTTGTTCTGTATCACCGAATCAGAACCCACTCATAGCTGGTAACACCTCATTTGCAGAGATAGTAAATCACATGGGAGAAAGTTGCCTATCTTACTCCTGAGAAGAAGCATCTGGTGGATTCGACTCATATGCTTGGGTAGGCAGCACAGGTCCTTACCACTAAACTCCCACTGCAGAACCAGAGCTCTCTAAGAAAGGCATAGGGTCTAAGGAAGATCCTCAAGGAAATGGATTGATACAGTGACTGCATCAATGGACTAGAGCATACTGGAGATTAAAAGGATGGTGCAAGATAGGGCAAGGCTCAGATCTGCTGCTTATAAGGTTGCTTTGAGTCATATTCTAGTTGATGGCCCCTAACAACAACAGCAACAACAACTACTAAAACACCACCGTCTCCTATACGGTACTGAACACTGTGCTGGATGATTTACATATATCACTTTACTTAATTTTTGCACCAACTGCAAAATCTATTATCATTCTCATTTTATGGATAAGAAATAAGCTCAGGAGGCTTGAAAGACGTTTGTGAAAGGTCACAGAGTTTGCAGGCTATGGAGCCAGGACCCACCCAGATCTGCCTGACTACATGAACCAAATTCTTTCCACATTAGCACACCACTCTGTCTTCCTTTCATGTATTTCCTTCTTTCCCCCTCACAGTCTAAAGTGGTGAATGGGTGGTGATATTATAAGAATTGTAAGCAAAACAAAGACTAATGCAAAGACTAATCTTATTTTACAGTCCTCCAGCAGTTCTGGTCTGGATACTAAAACCCCCAAATACCTGCCATCAAATCGATTCTGACCCTTTGTTGTTGCTGTTGTGTACCATAGAGTTGGAACCAACCCTTAGCTGACCCTCTGGCGGGTTTTCAGAGGCAGTTAGTTGCATGAGGCAAGTGCTCATCCTTCTCCCACAGAGCAGCTACTGACCTTGAACTGTGTGCCTCCAGGATTGCATCATAGCTTCTTGCCACTAGGCCACCAGGCCTCCCTGTAGGTTAGAATGACCCTATAGGATAGAATAAACTGCCCTCATCAGGTTTTCAAAGCTCTAATATTTACAGAAGCCAAATGCCACCTTTTTCTCTCACAGAGCAGCTGGAAGGCTTGAACTGCCAACCTTATTGTTAGCAGTTCAGTGTTTTAACCACAGTGCCACCAGGACTCATTTGTTTGGCCTGGTTACTAGATTCCAAAGAAATGCAAGATGCATGCAGGCTAATTTTATATCTTTTGTTCTTTAATATCCCCAGAGTCTCGGCAAATACATTTTCTAAGTCTGAAATAAGGGGATATAACCAGCAATACCATGCTTCCTTGAACAGATTAGGACAGCATGTTTGAAATCAAAACTGTAAAAGTACCTAGAGCACCTAGCAGAGAGCTAGATCCAGAATGAGGATGACCAAATATGAAATTGTTGACTGATTCATTGGAGGCTGATCACACAAAAAGAATAACCAGTAAACAATGCAAATAAATGCTTATTAGTGGAATTCAGTAAGATGGACTTTCTGACTGATCTTAATGTAAGCTTCCTAAACTGGGTGGTTTGTTAATCTCCAGATACTTATTTAGACACAAAACTGTGGATTCTAAGATAGAAGCCATTTAATTAGGAGTTCTAATCCCAGGCTAGAACATGTCCAGGCAGATTAAAATGTGTTTCTTGTTTTCTAACAATTAGCGGCCTAGCTCAAGAGTGAGCAGTTATAACTGGGGACCCGAGGAAGGTCATAAAGGCAGTAAAGCAACTAGTTGCTTTGCACAGTCACTTATTTAATCCTCAAATCCTGCAGGTTGTAAATTACTCATTAGAAGGCAAGAAGCAAAATAGCCACAATTCATTTAGTGCCTCCAAATGCCAAAGCTTTGGAAGAGGCAAGTCATGGAAACAAGAGGCCTGGTGTATTCTTTCACTGCCTTTTCTTAATGGGCAAAAGTGGTTAAGCAATAAGGAAAACCCATGTAATTACCCTGATGCGCTGGCCCATAGGGTGGGCTTGATTAAGTCCATGAATGACTGAACCACAAGGGAGGGGAAAATGCCCCTACGTTTCCACTCAGATCTGTAGGCAGCTGATCAGGGTGTACATGTCACTTTCAGATTGAGACCAGGGCAATAGCAGATGGCATTGAGCAGGGCTTTCCCTCCTAACCAGAGTCTCCTAGGCAGCACAAGGAGTAGGATGAGAGAGGCTATGTAGCAGAGAGGAATTAGACTGCATGAGGAGGAGGCTGAAACTCATTCCATACATACAGACGGCAGCTCCCTACTGAAAAATACGACACTGTGAAACCAATGAGGTAATTCATTTGCAAGCTTCTGTACACGTGCAGAAAGTTGCATCCATTTGACTTGCATTTTTACCAGCTTAACCTGAAAATGTCTAACCATTTACTCAGGATAATGGTTTCTATCCACCAAGGGGAAAATTCCTGTTTAGTAAAGACATTAACAATAAGTAAGCTGTTTTTTGGGGGGACTGGGTCTGTGAATGGGTTTCTGAGAGAAGATTTTGGGTTTCCTTCCTTTTTTATTTTCAGCAACGTGACGCCTTTTAGAAATATGGTCACACAGCTTCAGACCTTCCCTAGGGTACATACAACAAAACAGGTGGCTCGCTTCCACACTGGAACAAGCATTTGATTTCTATCCCTGTGCCTTCTGCCCATTCTGATTACTGGATTATTTCTGTAAAGGAGCTAGGGGGGTTAGGCCACAAAACGGAGCTTCTCTCTTTGCAGTGGTAACTGGATCACATGAAAAATCAAACCTCTGTTTTCTACAGTAATGAAATGGCCTACCCAGCCTTTCCATTTCATTCCTGCTTCACGGTCTAATTAAATTTGTGATCTCACCATGCCCCCACCACTGTGTTTATTATTATCTCTTGGTTCCATTCAACACACAGCAAGTTGTTGCTGCTTTAACAAATCATTTGATAATAAAACAATATATAACTTTTTAAAAAAAACAACAGCATAGCTATGGAAATGCATTTCTTTACTTTGGAAAAAATTATTCTAAAGTGTTTCCTAGGAAGATCATTGCACCATGGCATGTGACAAACACACTCCTCCATTCTTTCCACGTCTTGTTTTAAAAAGGAGAACACTTTTCTTTTAAGTCAGTTTGCTAATCTAAAGAATTTCCAAGAACCCTGTAATTAGAGATACTGATAACTAAAAGCAATTTTGAAACACTGCAATATCCTAAGACAAGGTAAAAATTGCACATTGTAATTCTGAAAAGTATGCATTTGGGCTTCTATGTCATTTGTCCCAGGAAAGAACTCATCTTAATCACACTTTTCTTGTTTCTAAGTCACACTTTAAAAAAAAATTGTCATCTGAATGAAGGCTTACTTTTGATGGAGGTAAGGAATGACCATTTAGCCTTTTGTTTTTCTAAGGGTTGTTGTTGTTATGTGCCATCGAGTCCGAAGCTACTCATAGCTGACCCTCTAGTAGGTTTTCAGAGGCTGCAAATCACGGATTGTCCATGTTTCTCCTGTCAAGTGGCTGGTGGATTTGAACTGTGTGCCTTTGGGTTGGCAGTACAACTCCTTACTACCAAGTTATCAGAGCTCCGTTTCTATAAGTAGGATGCCAGAATTCTTTTTTTTTAACTTACCCTGAGTGGATTTTCATTAAGGTAAGGGGGTTCGCCTTCTACCATTTCAATTGCCATAATCCCTAGAGACCAGATATCCACTTTTGGGCCATAAGCTTTTCGAGTTACCACTTCAGGTGCCATCCAATAGGGGGTCCCCACCATAGTGCTTCGTTTACTTTGCTCTGGGGTGATCTGGGCACAGAACCCAAAATCAGCTGCAGAGAAGAGAAGTCTGTTAAAATGGGCTTACATAATGTTTATCTTTTACCACAGGTCATTTTTACATACTGACTGTCCTTTCCTTTGTTAGATACTGAGCTTCTACAACTGTCTACCTCACGATCTTTTGATACTTACGCTGTCAGCTGTCTCCTGTTTTAAAAGGGTCTGAAATGACTGGTTGGTGCACCATCATTCTTCTGGAAGTTACTGTTCCCTCAGTTTTATGAAGTCTTTCTATTTTCTAACTAGACACTTATTACTGAGTCAAGGGAAGTCACTAGAAATTCTGAAATATTAAATTAAAAAAACTCTAGTTACATCCCTAAGGAACACAGTGTTAGAAAATTCTTTACTTAAACAGGGCTATAATTGCTTTCAAATCAATCACTTTCAACAGTCATTATCATCTCAAAAAGTAAAAGTAAAATAGCAGGAATTCCCTGCTTTCTCTCAAACACTATCTGAATGAAAATACCTACTCAGTTTAACAGAGCCATCCATTCCCAGGAGAATATTGTCACTCTTTATATCTCTGTGGATCACTTGGTTTGAGTGTAAAAAGTCCAAAGCCTGGAGGCACTGTTGAATCAGAAAGAAAAGAAATGAATTAAAATATTAAGTTTAATTTCTAGAGAGATCTCATTCAAGAGCTGAATTTGATCATGAAATTGATTACTAAATGTTTGAACACCAGTTTCAAGAGTTGTTGTTAAAAAAAAAAGAGCTGTTGTTGTTATTGTTAGGTGTCATTGTGCTGGCCCCGACTCACAATTACCACGTGTACAATATACAATAGAAGGAGACACTGCCTAAGCCAAATCCTGCACCAGTCCCAAAATATCTGTTGTACTTAAGACCACTGTTGTATGGAAAGCTATGCAGCACTAAGGAGAAAAGATTTTATAAAATACAAATAACATGGGAGAGCCTAGGGAGCATTATGCTGAGTGCACTAAGTCAGTCTCTTAAGGACAAATACAGCATCAAATCATTATCATAAAAATAGAAGGCTAACTAGTTATACGTGTGTGAATATTCAAAAGGGGAAGAGAAGGGAAACAAGGGGGAGGGAAAGAGAGAGTGGTGGGGACCACTAGAATGGCTGAGTTTAGTGGGTAGATGGGAGGCAGTGAAGGAATGGGAAACTTTCAATGGGAACATGAAGAGACAGGGTGATATTAGGCATAGCTCAGTGGTGATTGGTTGTATGAAATACAGTGTACATGAAAGATTGTATGAAACATAATCTGAATGAAGGACTGTATCAAACACAGTGTATATGAATAAAATTATTAAAAGACCCACTGCTGTAGTCATTAAGTCACTCAATCTTGTTGAGGGTCATGTTACCCATTAAATCAGTGTTACTATTTAGTATTATACATAAATGATGGCTCTGAAGGGTTCGATGAAGACTTGGATATGAAAGGTGATGACATGATAAATGATCACTACTCTTTAGTACAGCTTAACTAACCAATTAATAAGATCATACTTTGACAGTTATCTAGAGGCTCAGCAAAAGAACGGAGGACCTTTAACGAGGTAGATTCTGTTGTGTTTAGGATTGAGCTGATCTGATGGCACCTAAGAAGCTGCACTGCAAAAATCCCAAAGGCTCATGGTTCAAATCTATCAACTGCTCTGTGGGAGAATGATGGACCATCTCCTCTCGTGCCTCTTAAAACCCATCGGAGGGTTGGTTATGGGCCATTTTTGACTCAAGAGCACATAATAACAATATCTGGAGAATAAGGATTCAGCTTAGGCTTATAAAGATTTAGTAAGTTTCTGCTTATATGATATAAGTTTAATCAGAAGGTCTGATGTGAAAACAACTGTCCTGAACTTTCTGATAGACTTGGGACACTCCAGATACTTTTTTTTTTAAATGGATCTGTGTTCAAATACTAGAAAACAGAAATTAATGGAACAGTGTAGTCTGTTCTCCTGAAGAGGAAAAAAAGTTTGATTTATTGCAAGAAATTAAAACCTGTGTCTGATGGCTCTGTCTGCATATTCAGGGAGGGAAAATTGAAAAGAGAGGGGCAAGGAAGGAGGGAACATGAGAGAATAATTTAATGTAAAGGTCAAGCAAAAGTTAACAGAAATTATTTCTCTCCTCTTTTCAAGTTTCAGTAGGTCTTAGTTTATTTGCCTTATCTTTATAGAAAATTTCACAACAACCAATGTGTAGACAGTAATGTCCAAGATGCAATTCGACTAAGAAGCACATTGGTTTGGTTGGAGTTTTTTTAAAATATTGAGTGGAATAAATAATTGCTTAATAGCTTAATTGAGTTTGGGTATCACATTGTTATTAGAAAAAGGACATACTCTCAGATCCACTGCACAGGTATTCTGATTTAAATGTGAAAGCAACTACTACCTGGAGTAAGGAAGCTCTTGCATGAATTGTCTTCTAGGAACACTGGAAGTATAATGTGATCTTTCTATCATTGCATGTATAGGACAAAATATCTAGCATATGAAAATTCTCCCAGCTCAGAAAGAAGCCTTGTGCCAATACTGTTAGCCTAGACTTAAACTAAGGAGGGATCTGACATGGAACCTCATGAATGGCATAAAAGTACTCAAAAAGATCCACAGTGAAGCAATTAAACCAATCAGGTGGGGAGGGGGAAGGAGCGCAGGACAGTGCTATTAAGATTGAAGATAGAATTCAGAAGTTAGAATTTTGGATAGGCAATATGTGCACTATTACTTTGAGCTTACAAACATCCTTAATAACCAGAGATAGAGAATCGCTAATTGTGTTCTTTGACGTAGAAACGCTCCATTTTCTTACCTCTCTGCAGACAGCTGCTATCTGCCCTTCATCCATACAGGTCTCTGTGACCACATCAGTCAAAGAGCCACCAGCCAAGTATTCCATGACAACCCATAGTTCATCACCTACTAAATAGCTATAACAAGAAAAGAAAAAAAGGCTTTACTTTGGCCTAAGAAAGTGAGGGATTTCTTATACCTCCATTAAGAACGAGATTTGCAGTTAAGTCTCTGTATTTGGTTGTATTAAATAACAAGAAAATATCTTAATGGTCACCGAAAATGGTGGTTATAATGAGATACTATCTTACTGGTAGAAAAGAATATGCAAAGGAAAAAAAAACCTCAAAGCATTGTCAGATTAAATGGCTCACTAGAGGATGGAAAACACCCAGAGGGGTTTTTCCTTTTTAAAAAATTTTAATTGTGATTTTAACGAAAGTTTGAAGAAAAGTTAGATTTTCACTCATTGACTGTTGCACATTTTCCTTCCTCTCCCCTATTTTCCCTCCACCAGTTAACTTTTAAAAAATATTCATTCATTGTTGCACAATTTCCTCCCTACCCCGCACCCTCAATCTTCTTTGCAATGTACCTGTTATTCTGCACTGTTGTTATACATATAATGCCTAGTCATATATAACTTTAAACAGGTCTTTATTTCATCTGTTCCAATACAACATTATCTATCCACTCTTATCCTAGTCTCCTTCCAACCGCCCATGTCAGACCTGCTTTATAACAGTGGTGCTACGCAGTATTTGTCCTTTTGTGAGTGAGATATTTCATTCAGCATAATGTCTTCACCCATGTTGTGGAATGTTTTATGAGTTCATTATTTTTCTGCTAAGGCATAGTATTCCATTGTGTGAATATACCATAGATTTTCTAGCCATTCATTTGTTGATGGGCACTTGGGTTGCTTCCATCTCTTTGCTATTGTGAATAACTCAACAATAAACATGGATGTGCATACATTTATTTAGATGGCAGTTCTGGTTTCTTTAGGGTGTAGTCTCAGTAGTGCAATTGCTTGGTCAAATGGTATTTTCCTTCCCCTACTTTTTTGAGAAAACACCAAACTCCTTCCATAATGGTTGTACCATTTTACATTCCCATCAGCAGTGGATAAGGGTTCTAGTCTTTCATAACCTTGCTAGCATCTGTTGCTTGCTACTCTGTTGAAATTTGCTATCATTAGAGGTGTTTTTTTCTAAGAGGCCTATGAGGATTACTATTACTCATACCGTGGTACAAACCCATGTCAATGAACAGAAGCAGGGAACAGCCCATTTCGATATCTCAAGCCATAATTTTCACTTCTTGGCTTGAACCAGCCCGAGGTGTCCAGATTTATAGACATTTAATCAAGTCAGTATTATTTTTTAGTCTACGGAATTGATTTAAAAAGTTTTCATGGATTTGGTGAATCATAATTACAGCATATTCGTGTGCTGAGGTCTTCATCCTGATAGTGCTATAGTCATCATCTTTGAGTAATTATGAAATAATCAGATCTGGGGACACAGATACGTCACAATAGTATCAGGACTCTCTGGCCTCTCCTAGCCAGAGGGAGAAATTATAATGGGTTGAATAATATCAAGCATTCAACCCTGCTCTAAGGCCCACATTCATGTGGTGGAAGACTTTCTTTCTAATCCAGTGAGTCTCAAATTGCAGTGTCCATAAGAGTCACATGAAAAAGGTTGTCAAAAATTAAAATTACAAGTGTTCGCTTTGGCAGCACATCTACTAAAACTGGAACAACAGAGAGAAGATTAGCATGGCCTCTGCGCAAGGATTATATGTAAATTCATGAAGTGTTCTATATTTTTACTGGCAGCTACAGAGAAGGCCAAGGACCTAGCCAACAAGTAAGCCACCAAGAAACAGCAGCAGCATCAACAATTTGTGTAGCCATCATCTGCCCTGCACGGCCTTTCTACCACCACCACCACTGCACAGCAGACAATCCAGCTCCACCCCCCTGACCCCAGTATGTTGTTGTTGTTGTTGTCAAGTGCCGTCAAGTCGTAGACCACTCATAGTAACCCTATGGAACAAAAGACCTGAACATTTGTATAACTTTGGTTGTTTCTCCATGTTCATAGAGTTTCCAGAGACAAGCCATTTTGGAAATGGATGGCACTCCTGCTTCCAAGCTTGTTTTTATTGGGAAGCTCCACCAAACACTGTCCACCATGGGTAACCATTATCACATTTGGCACATTGGTGTCACAGTGTTTAGCATCACAGCAACCACGAGTTACCTCTATACAGCAATGCCAAACCCAGTATGCTTTCTTATTAAAAATCAATATCCAGCCCTAAAAAACCAAACCAAACCAACAAAACAATTAAAATTACAAGTCCCCTCTTTTCTGGTGCTTCAGAAGGTTTTAAAAATTTGCATTGTTTACAAGTGCCTCGGGTAACTATTCTATGTCGTGGTCTTGAAGTGAAACTTTATAAAACTCTGAGGTGAATTACAAAATAGGATCTTTCTCCCTCTTTCCTTTTTCTCTCTTTCTATCATGGTTCTACCTGGCCTAATCCACACAAAGCAAGGCCATATGTATTTGAAGACTTTGTCTTACATCCTCTGAATCTCTCCAAGGTACAAAGCACAGTGGAGCTAAACAAATACTTCATAAAATAAAATTAAGAAGGACATTAACCACAAGTGAAGAGGTAATGCTGTCTTTAAACGCCTAGTTATAACCTACTGTTCAGACCACTGATAAAAGAGACATTAATTAGGTGGTCTAGGAAAAAGGGTTGAGATTAGAGTCTCAGTTCTCTCGACCTCACTGTCAGTTAATCAAGAAGCACCCATTAAAACAAGGCCACTGTAGTCCAGATTCTACACTTGAGCTCCCAAAGACTGTACTGGCACCATCACTGTCGGCTCTTGCCTATACGCAAGATCAGCACAGAATCAGCATCTTGAAAAGGAAACCACCCAGACTGCTCATGTTTAAAATGCTCATAAAATGTGTTCCTTCAAGTGTTTATATTTGAGCAAAGATAAGTGGGTGCAAATTTAGCAACAGATCCGATACTCAAACTACGTTGTAGCATTTTGAGAAATATTTGTATAATGGCTGTTAAGGGATAAATCCCAAATCAAGCAATTTGCCAAGAAAATGACATACTATGTAAACACACACACACACACACACACACACACACACACACACACACACACACAAATACATAATGAGAAAATACTTACCTATCTAAATAATTAACAATATTGGGGTTCTTATTTTCCCTCATGACTAGAATTTCATTAATAATTAATTCCTTCTTAGGCTGTTGTTGAAGGTTCATCTGCTTTATGGCCACCTGAATGATGATTGAAATACAAGAGTGACTTGTAATTACTAGAAGATAGACAGTATCTATATTTTTAGGGACACAGTGAGAAGCACACACACTCTTTATCTATAAAATTCTTTCTCTGGGCCACAAACCCATACTCCTGTTATCCCTGGTCAATTAATCATTAATAAACCATCCACCTCATAATCTTTACATCAGTGAAGTAAACGCCCATGTCGCCTGGCTTAGGGTGAGGTCTCTTGACTACAATTTTTTTTTTCGGAGTGGATGCCATCAAGGAGGAAATCTGATATATATGAACAAAGGATAATAAAGCACAGGATTGAATGTCAGCACTTACCTCCTGTCCTGTTGCAATGTCTAGTGCTGTATAAACAGTACCTGATGCCCTGTGAAAGTGAAAATGATCACATTAACGAGCAATCAAGATGTTGCCAGTGTGTGTCATTTGAAACAAAAGGCAATGATTTTCAGGAGAGGAAAATTAGTACACTCAAGATTAAAGGATAAAGTAAAAAACAGGAACTTTATTATAAAGTCGCTGAACTTGAACGAACCACGGTGCATCCCCTGAGGGGGGAGGGGCGTTAGGATCCACATCAGACTTTCTGGCACCAGTCTATATGCCATGACATCAATGAACTGAGCAAGATAGCCTTGCTTCCTGGGGAAATTTGTGGAATATTGCACAAAAATCACTGTAAGCATCTAATTAAAGCAAGACTTAGTTTCAGATATAAAACATCTTTTGCTTCAGTAACTTTTATGACATGGTAACTTTTAGCAGAGGAACACACTGGTCTCTCATGCTTTTTTTTTTCTGAAGAATATCTTGATCTAACAAAGTAAGCACTCTCCAGAGAGAAATTCTTTAATTCCTTGGTTTTCTGTCCCCAAGCCCCTCCAGCATTTCATAATCTCAAAATCACTAGAGTTTTAACCCTAGAATTGCAGTATCCTGGCTTTTAGGGCATGCGGTAGTAGAGAGTTGCAAAAATCTCCCCTCTATCAAGGTTCAAAGATCCTAAATCTCCAAAGCAAGAGTTATTAACTAAAAAATGAACAACTCTCCTCACTTCCTCTCCTTTCACCTCATTTGCTTAGTAGAGACCTCTGTATCACTCCTATCTACCCACCTCTGCTTTCTTGTCTTGAAAAGATTGCATTCTCCTCATTGCTATTCCAAATATATTAGGCTATTGAGATTCCCTGCTATGGCCAAACAGCTACTGGTGTACCCACCTTTCAGTCCTTGTTAGACTTCTTAAATGTTAAAATGGAAAAATGTTGCAGCATAAAATTTAGTGCCATTCTAGCTCCATTTTAGGAGTCCTAATACTTCCTTTGAAGTCTTTCCATAGTCTAACAATTTACTATTCAGTCGGTATAATGTGAATCTTTTATTCTCTGACTCAGTCAATAAACCACTCTCAATGCCCACTATTAGATTAAGAAAAGTAATTCCTGTCATCATCTATTAAAACCTCCCCCAGTTGAAATCCTACCAGTTACCACTTGTATAACCCTAGGTAAATAATTTCATTTAAAATTGTAGCTCAGCTTCCCTTTCACAAACAAGAACAATAAGAAAATCTCCTTCATATTGTTATTGTCAGGATTAAAGGAAGTAATGCCTAGAGTCACTACAGATTACTCCAGCAGAGTCAGAATCAACCAAGAGCTGGACCCTCTGCCAGGTTTTCAGAGACACTTGATCGCCCACAAGGAGATCATTCATCTTTCTCCTGTGGAGCAACTGGTAGATTGGATCACATGCCTTTTAGATTGCAGCACAGCTCCTTACCATTAGTCCACCAGAGTTGCCTATAATAATGGTAGTATTTATTATTACTTGGTTGATGACTCTCCAATATGTTTATTAATTATGGCCTCAAATGACAATTTGTGTATCACTAAGAATCTCTTTAAGTATATGGGAACTTTCAACATATTTTGATGTTTTAAAATGGCAAAGGGGTGAGGATGGCCAGGGGGTTAATCATAGTTTCACACAATTTGATGGGTCGAGGAAGGGTGGTGGATAAAGGAAATGGGAAACATCTGGTGTAAAAAATAATATATACAAACTTTGGAAGTAAACCAGTAAAATAAAACTCTTCTTTAAGAAAAAGAAAGCAGTAAACATAAAAAAAGTCATAATAGAAAATTGGTAAGAAAAATTTATTAAAATATCACAAACATTTCCTTTTAATTAGGATTACACAAATCTGTGATCACTTTAGATGCTGACCAAAACATTTAAGCAACAGTCGTATGTATTTCTTCTTTTCACTTAATAAAGAATGAGGTAATAAATTGTTATTTAATGAATACATTTTGATGGGTGTAATTGGTCATCATTTCCTACAACCTGGATTTCACAAAGTAAAACAAAAGAGTATTTGGGAACCACTCTCCACTCTCCTTGTATGTAGAAACCAGTTTCATCGAAAGGCGATAAACAATAATCAGATTATCAGACCCTGAGTATTATAATTAATGTTATGAAATATGTG